CCGTCGCTCACCGCCCCAACCACACCGTGCCTCCTGCCTGGTCCTGTGCCCGGGGCCACCAGGGGGCCATCCCACTGCCACCTAGGACTCCTGCCCTCGACAGGGCAGGTGTGGCCAAACAGGCCCCTGGGAAAAGGCACCTGGCCTCGTGGCTGATGTCCTCGGAGACCGTGTCAGCCTCCTCCTCCCCGTCCTCCTCCCATCCACCCCCGGCCCAGTCTTCGAGTGTTGAACACATAAATAGAAGTGCTTAAGTAAGGATGGGGAGGGCCGCTCCCTGTAGCTCCTGCACCCCATGTAGTGTTGCTGTGGGGGGTGGGGGTCCCCGGGAAGGCCCCCCCCACCCCCTGGCGTCCCAGGCCTCAGGAAGGCTGGGGGTGAGGGTGAGCAGATTCTCATGGCTCTGGCCTCAGTTCGTTGAAGACCGACCGGAAAAAAGGAACTTGGGAGAAGAGATGGAGGGTGGGGGGGGTGTGGTGTCAGAGCCAGGGGCTCAATTCACTGGCCCCCCACGCTCCCTGGGCCCCTGGGCCCTCACCGCACCTAAAGTGTCACAGTGTCTCCTGCCCAGATTCCTGACTGGCTTCCAGCAGCAGCTCCTCGAGCTCCTTCTCGTTCTTGGAGCAGCTCAGCTCTGCGCGAGGAGAAGGGCCGCCAGTCAGGCAGGTGGGTTGGGGGTACCAGTCCGTCCCCACCAGCCCTGCCCCAAGCCAGACCCTCAGGGTAACACAGGCCCAGGTACCACTGAGACTAGCAGACTCCAGGCAGCAAATCTTCCATGCCCCACCCCCAAGGAGTGCTCCCAGGGAAGGAAGGTGGGGACTGAGGATCAAGTTGCACTTGTCCCCCACCCCTTCAAAGGCCATTCTGAAGAGGGGGAAACTGAGACACGCCAACAGGCAGGTGCTTGCCTGGGGTCACACCCAGCACCCAGGGGCCCCCCTGTCACCCAGCCCCAGCGCTCCTCTCACCGTGTTCCAGGCCACAGCCGCCTGCCTTGGCCTCGGGCCCCGGGGGCGGCTCTGGGGGCAGTGCGAGGGCAAACTCAGGCTTCAGGCCGTTGGGCAGCGGTGGCCCTGACTGAGGCGGCTCTGGCTGTGGCTGAGGCTCAGATGACCCTAGGTTCTGAGGGCTGACAGCCTCAGCCGGTGGTAGTGCAGGTGAGGCGGGAGGGGAGGGTAAGGCAGGTGGGGATGGAGGGCAAGGAGGGGCAGCGGGGGAAGGAGGGGCCGGTGGCACAGGAGGCTCTGCTCTCTCAGGTGGACTCTCCACCCGGGTCACCACAAACACTTTGTGGCCCCGGCCCGGGCTGGACACAGAAATGCGCTGCTCAGTCGGGGAGGAGGGGCAGCCTGGGGGGCTCCTGTCCCCAGGGCCCAGGGAGTCCGTGGGGGGCACCAGGGCGGGGCAGGGGGCCTCAGCCCTCTCCCCATCCTCCTCCTCCCGGTCCTCCCCGTCGGAGTCTGAGTCTGAGTCTGAGTCCGGCCCAGGGCTGGGGCCGGGGGCCCCGTTCTCCTGCGCCTCTGCGGCAGGCTCCTCCCCAGGCTCATCGTCAGGCTGGGGCTCAGTGACGGTGATCTCGGGCATGGAGGCCGACAGCTGCAGGCGCTGCTCCTTCTCCTCCCGCTCCCGCGCCAGCACAAAGTTGCGCTTGCAGCCGTTCTGGATCTCCGCAAGCAGCGCCTTCTGCGTCTCGATGAAGCTCTTCACCTGTGGGCGAGCAGGCCTGGCTAGGGCTCCAGGTGGCCCACCTGCCGGGGTCCCAGGGCCGCCCTAGGCCAGGCTGACCCCCAACTGCCCGCAGGGAAGGGCCCGCTCACCGCCTCCTTCTTGGGCTCGCGGTCAAGGTCCAGGCGCAGTAGGGAATGGTTCACCTTGAGGGCCAACGACAGTGCCATGAGCCCGCCCGTCTTGATCTCGTTCTCCCGAAGGTCCAGTCTCAGGAGGCGGGGGCTCTCGGCGATGAACTCCGCCACCGCCACCGCGCCTGGGAGGGGGACCGCAGGGGCTGGCCACAGGCCCACACCCAGCTGGCCGCCCCCCAGCCCGGCCTGCACCAGCCCCGCGCCCAGCCCCGTGCCCTACCCTCGCAGGTGAGCTTGGTGGAGGCCAGGCCAAGGCGCAGCACGCTGCGGTTGCCAATGAGGCCGTTCTTGAGGTTCCGCACGCCCTCGTTCCCGATGGGGTTGTGGCCCAGGTTCAGCGTCTCCAGGCTGTGAGTGTGCGGCTGGAAGTGGGGCGTGTGAGAGCGAGGAGAGGCCCAGAAGGCCAGTCAGGGAAGAGGCAAACACACGGGGTCTCTCCTCGGCAGTGCCCCCGGTCTGAGCCCCAGCACATTCCTACTTGAGGCCGAATCCCTCATATACTCAGAAGTCTCCCAAGTGCCAGCTGCCTGTCCATGCCCCAGCCCTCCGAGCATCCAGCCATCCCCCACGCCCCACAGCCCGGGCCCACTCTCTGCCCCAGCCAGCAACCCAGGGACTCGGGCCACAGGCCTGGCCCTGGGCAATTCTTAACCTGGGTATGAGTCTTTTTATCCCATGGGCTTGCTTTAAATACCACATAATAGAAAGATTTAAGACTTACTGAAGGCTTCCAGAAATACTAACTTTCTATGCAAAGCATTTTCACCTCATACAAAGCACTGTACCAGGCTACCGTGCTGGATGCAGAGAGATAATCAGAGGAGAACTACTCTCCTCGAGGGGAAGAGGGTGCAGGGGCTGAAGCCAACACCAAACAGGGCTGAAGGGAGAGATCAGGTTCCTGAACTGGCAGGATGAGCAAAAATGGGAGAGGTGACAGCTGGAAGATGCGGAGAGCTTGGGGTGGGAGAGGCGCTGGAGGGAACAAGGCTGCCTCCCTCCCCTCCCTGGCCAACTCACCAGCGTCATGCCCAGGAAGGCCATGCCCGTGTGCGTAAGCTGGTTGTTCCACAGCACCAGGGTCGCCAACCCCTTCCTCTGCTCCTTGAGGCCCTCACAGATGTAGGCCAGACCTGGGGGAGGCCCGTGGGCAAGTCCTGTCTGTGGTCCGGGAATCTCCCTGGGGCACGCTGGCATGGGAGCCGCCCCACGAGTGCTCAGAAGCTCCCAGGCCCCCACCTTGGCCTGCCCAGCCCCACAGGCTCTGGCTCTGCCACCTCCTGCTACTGCACGCCTGCCTCGGGCCTGGCTCACAGGGCTCCCCGATCTCTGGGCCGGGAACACCCCTCCCCTGGGCACCCTGATGAAAGCCTCCCCAGTCTGCTTCCAATCTCTGCTCAAATATCAGCCTCTCGCAGGACAATGTGGCCAGCCTAACCTCAACGGAAGTTCAGCCCACCATTACTGCTTTATTTTTCTCCAGAGTACATCTCACCATCTGACAGACTCAATATTTTATGAATGTATCTTGGCTTTGTCTTCCCTGAGAGCAGAGAACTCTGCCTCACTCACAGCTGTGAACCCAGAGCCATTAGGCCCAGCATGTGGTAGGTGCTCAGTAAACGTGATGCCCAGGCCTGGCTGCCCTGGAGGAAGGCACTGGCCTCGCGGTCCCACTCTGCACCCCTCTCCCTCAACCTCTTCTTCACACTGAGGCTGGAGACTCTGCTCAACAGTGAACCAGGTTGAAATTAATTCCTCCCGCTGACAAGGTCCTGCCGACTACTCCCTCTTCACGTCCCACTCACCTCCTGGCTCTCTGGGGCTTTCCCCCAAAACACCTAACATCTAAGCTCTCTCCCACCTTGGGGCCTTTGCACTTGCTATCCCTGCTGCCTGGATTCTTTTCTTAGGCTTTTAAAGTGGCTGGTCCTGTCCTAGCCTCCTCATCCCAGCCCAGAGATGCGTGCCTGCACACCTTAAACAGCCTCTGGTTGACCCTTTATCCTGAGATCTTTGTTGCCTTCAGGGCATTCTTCCCAGATTGTAATTATTTCAATTATCTGGTCAAAAGCCCACCTCATCCTACAGGAACAGCTGAGCGGTACCCTCTCCAGGACACCCTCCCTGATACCCAGACTGGGTCAGACACCTGCTCTGGGCTTGTGCAACCCAGCCCAGTCTGAGTCATCACTGGGGATGAACTGTGAGCCCCAAGAGGGCAGGGCCACGACAGCACCTCTAGCACCACGAGCATACAGCTGGGCACACAGTGGGTGCTGGGTGGCTGGAGTTGGGGTGGGATGGGTGGACCTGGCACACACCTGAGTCCAGCACGTGGTTGTTACGGAGGTCCAGGATCTGCAGGGAGCAGTTGAACTTGAGCAGGTTGCCCAGCTGGGCTGAGTCCTGCAGGCCATTGAGCTTGTTGTCGGCCAAGTACAGTTCCCGCAGAGTCATGTTCATCTTCAGGGCTGTGGCTGGGGACAGCAGGGGAGGATGCTGTGACTGGCCATGCCCAGGCGACTGGGCCAACAGCCCAAGCCCACCAGCACACTGTCCTGGGGCTCACCGAGCAGCATGAGGGGCCGCCCCGATAGGCTGGCATTCTCCAAGTGCAACACGGCCAGGCTGCTGCGGATGCGCAGGGCACGGGCCACAAAGGGTGCTGAGTGGTCCAGCAGGGGTGTGTTGCGGGCATCCAGGTACTGGAGGCAGCTCGTCTGTGCAGCAGGTGGGGGTGTTAAGCCAGGCTGACCTCAGCCCTCCCTGTCCTGGGAGACCTCCCACCCTATGTCCCAACATCCCAGCGAGCAGCAGGGCCATCTAGTTTCACAGCTGGGAAACTGGCTGGTGAGGGAAGGCCCAGGTTGGGACCCTGGGGATGAGGAGGTAGTGCTGGTGACAACCGAGCTCCTGACTCCTGTATGGCAGAGAAGCCAAGGAGTGAAATGGGTGTGGTGACCACAGCCACCTCCAAGGGACACATTATAGGCAAGTGGAGGAGGAAGGAAAACACTTGCAGGGAGAGAAGGGGCCAGGGCGGGCCCAGGGCAGGCACCTGTTGGCACCGCTTTCCCACTGGCCTGGAGCCTGGGGCCCAGCACCCCCTGAGGGCTCTTGGAACCAAGCCCTAAGGGCTGGGTGCCCTGGAGAGGGCGCAGGCATGAGGCGCCCACCTTGCGCATCATGTGGGCAGCGGCCTGCCAGCCCCGGGTGCCGATGTGCTTGTTGAAGGAGATGTTGAGATGGGTGGCCGACTCGTAGTACTCGATCATGTCGAAGAGGGCAGAGGCACCCTGAGCAGAAACAACTGGGCTCAGCCTTAAGTTTCAGCCTCACGGGGAAGCCAGGAGGTAGGGGCTGAGTGAAGGGGTGGGGAGAGCCCTGATGCTACTCTGGCACCTCTGGGTTTCAGGAACCAACCCTTCCCCCTTTCTGCTGGAGCCAGTCTGCTGTCTCTCACTTGCCCCTCAGAGTAGTCTAAGTGATGTGCTGTGTGACCAGAATAGGCCTCTGGCGTCCCTGGGCCTCAGTTCTCCAGGACCCCTCCCCCTGGGCCCCTGGTGGTCTCCAGGTCTAGGGAGGTGAGAATACCTGGGTGTAAACGGGGAAGGCTGCTTTCAGAATACTTCTCAAACTCTCCCCTGCAGGCGCTGGGTTCCCAGCAAGGGGTTCCTGGAAAGGCTCCTGGTGGCCACACACCTCACCCTCCAGCCTGGCTCCCCAAGTCTCTCCCTCACTTACAAAGCCCCCGCCTGAGTCTGAGGTGGGCCGATGAGACCCTTTCTCTGGGCCCCACCACAGAGCCCAGCATTCCCTCATCCACTCTGGCCACACCAGACGTCTCCCCGTCTTGTTCTTCAAGAGGCCCTGCCCAGCCTTTGTCCAAGAGGGTCCCCTCTTCCTGCCATGCCCTCCCCCCAAACCTCTAAGGGGCAGGGAGCTCAGGGAGCACGCAAGGGCAGTGGCAGGCTGCTCACATCTTCGTCCAGGTTTGTCTGCTCCAGATCCACAACCTTGAACTGCAGCCTCTTGAAGACCTCTTCGAGGGCCTCGCAGGTCTTGTAGTCAAGCTTCTCACCTGGGACGAGATGGAGCACCATGCGCATGCGTGTCTGTGAGCGCACGTCTGTGAGCGCACTTCTGCGCCTGCACGCGTGCACTCGCATTCGGGGTCAGGGGCTGGGTGGAAACGGGCTCCAGACCAAGGGAGGGAGCTCACACCTGTCTCAGGCCCAGCCCTGCCTGCCCTTGGCTGACCCCAGGTAGGCCACTCTCTGCCCTTGATCCACCTCCAGGGAGGCTCTGGCCCTGCCCACTACCCAAGGGCCCCCAGCCTCTGTCCAGACACACACCTTTCAGGTCCAGACAGTCAATGCGGTGCCCGAGGTCTGTGAACTCCTGGGAAAGAACCAACGGTGGTTAAGGCAGGAAGACACCTGCAGGGGCTGAGCTGGACAGTGGGGCAGCTGGGGCTCTGAAACAAGCAACCTTGGAACATTCTGGAGTCATCTGTCCGAAAGGAAGTCACTAAAGCAGAGCTTTAGCAACAGGACCAGGTTGGGCGAGCAGCAGGAAAGGCGCCTTTGAGAGACGGCTGGCGGGCAAGCAGGCCAGAGGTGCAGTAATGCCCCACTCAGAGAAAAACGGAAACTACCCTGTCTATGGACCTCTGCATAGTGATCTGTTCTCTTATAAAAACACAAAAAGTCAGGAGGGAGGGTATAGCTCAAGTAGTAGAGCGCATGCTTAGCATGGATGAGGTCCTGAGTTCAATCCCTGGTTATCGCCATTAAACAAGTAAATAAACCTAATTCTCTCCCTCCCCTCCCCAAATAACAATAAAATAAATTAATTAAAAAAAAAAAAACCACAAAAAGGCCAGGGGATGAAAACCCCAAGCTGTTACCAGTGGGAACTCCTGGGGAATGGGACTTGGGCAGGAAGTGAGAAGTCAATTCTGCTTTTTATAACTGTAGTATTTTAACTTTTTTTTTTTTAAGTAGAGAACATACATTACTTCTGTAATTCAAACTTAAATTTCGTGTACATGGCTTTTCCCCCGGGGAAGAGAATTTCTTTGGGGAGTGAGAGATACATGACAAGTAATTTCCTACTTTAATTCTGTACTGTTTAAATATTCATGAAGAGCCTGATTACTTTTACAACTGAAAAAGTTTTCAAAGCTGTATTTACAGAAGCTCTTGGTTGGCTAACCAGCCTGGGTAGGGGGAGTGCTTTGTGCACCCCTTCTTGCTTGGGAGCAGACACCACAGGCCCAGGTGCTGCCAAGGTGGGAGGAGGGGAGCTTCACCCCAGGGACCCCCACACCCTGCCCCGACACCGCCCATCCCCAACCTGGTGTACCTGGAGCTGCCTGAGGAGCTTGGGGATCTGTCTGCAGTTCAGCTTCTGGCAGGCCTGCTTGTAGGCGCCAATGACCTCGTCCACGGTCACATTCTGGGCTGTAAGTAGAGAGGACCCAGGCCTGTGACTCTCCGCACCCGGGGCCTCTTTCACCCACTCCCGCCACAGGCCTCTGCCTGCGCCCCCCTCAACCTTCAAGATAAAACCTTCCTTCCAAAAACCCACTGAGTTCATCCTGCCCTTGAAGCCCCTTGATATGACTGCTACTCTGGGGAAGTAGCCCCAGGCGTCCCCAAACCAAGTTAGCCCGACCCTCCACAGCTCCCCACAGCTCTCCGAACCTTCACATAAAACATTACACAACTAACATCACACCACTTTCCTACTTGTCAGCTGTCTCCCCTACTAGACTGGGAGCCCCAAAAGGACAGAGGCTGTCTAAGTCACAACCATGTCCCCAACACCATCCAGCACAGGGCCAGACCCAGAACAGGTGTTTGATTTGTGGTTTTTTTGAATGAGAGAATGAATCCACACTTCAATCTTATCAGGATGCTGAGCTCAGAGAAGGGCAGCACCTTGCCCAAGGTTCACAGCTTGTAAGTGGTAGAGCCAGTATTTGAACTCAGCTCTTAACTGCGATGCCACATGGCCTCTCCAACTTCCCATTCCTGAGACATCCTCAACAGCAAGACATTCCTGGACGGTACTCAGGACTGGGCTTCCTGTCCCAGGGACACAGCAGCAGTCAGGGTCCCTGACATGGCCCTGGTGCGCCATGGTAAGGGGCAGTGGCTGGCAAAACAAATGAGGGAATGCAGCCCAAACCTAACGATTACACAGCCCTGTCCTTGGGAAACTGAGGGCCCGTCACCACGCGGAAGGTAAGCCTGGCCCTACTGTCTACGCAGACTTGTCTGTTTCGGACATTTCATAAACAGGGTAGCCTTTGGCAGCCAGCTTCTTTCTTGGAGCAGAACGATTTTGCGTTTCAGCCCCTCTGCAGTGTCCGACGTATGCATTTTGTTTATCCATTCATCAGGTGAAGACATTTGTATTCTTTTCAGTTTTGGGCTATTAGAGCTTAGGTTTTGCCCTGGGGTGACCAGGACAGCAGGAAAGAAAGGCTCTGAGCAGGGGAGGGACAGGGTCAGGCCTGGGTGGAGAAAGCTCCTGGGGTCGGCAGGGCGGGCAGGGAATGTGCCAGTGGGAGCCCCTACAGAGCTTCTGGGTAAGCACCTCCTAGTGGACCCTCCCCTGGCCACTGCTTCGGCCAGGGGCCGTCCACTCCAATCTCATCAAGCACTGCCCTGTCTTGTAGGTGAGGACACTAAGGTTCAGGGAAGGGAAGCTGCCTCTGTGAGGCCAGACAGCTGGTACAGGGCAGAGTCGAACATTTGCTCCATAACCCTCTCCACTGTGCTGGGTGAGGGTGGGGATGCCGGAGGAAAGAAGCTGACGGAAGCCCCAGCCTCCCCAGAGGTCAGGCTTGGTGGAGCCTGCAAGAAGCAGGAGGTGACCAGCAGTCCTCCCCGGTGTCAGCTGCCCGCCTGCAGACCTTGCAAGGGAGCTCTCTGACACTGGATCATGTGCCTGGAGGCTTCCAGCTCTGGCGGGGAGAGGGGGTGGACAGGAGCTGGCCCTGCCTGGAAGGCAGCCCTTGGGACTCGAGCAGCTGCCTCAGGGAGTCCAGCCAAACAGGGTCCACTGACCCCAGGGGATCTGTGAACTTGAGTGGGGAAAAACTACCTCTTTATTTTCACTAACTGAGCTGAAATGAAATTTAGCATTTCCTTCTTATTAACATAGCACACACACACACACACACACAAAAGACAGCAAAGAGATACTGTTTAGCAGACCCTGCCACTCTGTCATCAATAGAAACGGCAGATGCACTCACATCACATAACAGTGACTGCAGATTCTGAATGCGCATCACCACTTTGGAAATGGTAGTCATTTACGCTGCTGCTGTATCCTGTTATTTCATGTGTCAATGGAAAAGAGTATAAATACTAGATTACTATTTTAAAAATACTTCATAAGCTGTATTTTAACTGGTATCTTTTGTAATCATATTTTATTTTTCGCCTTTAAAAAGCATCACTCCAAGAAAGGGTATGTACACAGGCTTTATCAGATGGCCAAAGGGAAAAACTGCTCCCCTGGACACAGTCACGTCAATAAAGGCCCCAGTCATGTCATATGAGGATGAAGTAGGGGCCGGGTACACATGGGATCCTCATTAGCAGTTCTTGGGGTCCTAGATAGTCTGCAGGGAATAAGACCCTAAGCAACATCTCAAACTGCAGCTGGTGCTTTAGGTGTTCAGCTCAGACATCCCTTCCTTCAGGAAACCCTCCCTAAATGCCTAGGCTGGGCCAGGCTCCCCAAGTCCTCTGGGATCCACCATCCCAGCCCTGCCCACTGGATCAGTATTTGTTTTGAGGAGCCTCCTGGTGACTTTGAGGCCAGGGTCTCTGACCTTGCCACCTCCACACCAGCCACAGGTGCCATCCAGCCACCCCTTCAGCCAGGAGCCCAGGGTTCAGATGCAGGCAGGGCCTTACACAAGGTCACAGCCCAAGCTCGGGGAAGTGGCACGGGTCCACTCACGTACACCAGGGGAAACTGAGGGTAGCAGGTAGGAAAGATGGACAGGCTCAGAAGTGGGGGGCCCAAGGCCCAGGGCAACAGCAGACAACAATGACAACTGCATTCTGTCACTCTCCTCTGTTGCCGAGACACATTTCAAGGTGGGGGCAGCACTGGAGAAAGACACTGAAGGAACAAAAGCAAGGGTCCAGTCAGTGCGCTGCAGCGTGGGCTCAGCAGCCTGCGGGCACCCCGACCCGGGCTCCATTTCCCAACAGCATCTCAAGCACATCCCAAGTCCTGGCCCATCCCAGAGGGCAGACCTGAGAGTGTCAGGTGGCTCAGGAATGACCTGGTAGTAATCATTACGTCTGTGTATTTCATTCATATACTAAGGAAAAAGAATTATCTCATCAAAACCAGCATTTTGCATATATTATCACTTGGGAATGAGATGAAACATATTCAAATTTTAAAACTGAACTACTTTACAAAAAATAAAAAACAGTAAGAAAACGGCAGTACAGGTGGGTCGGAGAAGTAACACGGGGCATTTATATAGCACTGCCGCTGTGCCGGGGCCACCCAGCACCTTACAAGCTGGTGGAGTTGGGAGCTGGCGCAGGCAGGCCGGCTTGGGACCCGCCCCTACAAGCTCGTTTGTGGCAATCCTGCCTGCGCCTCGGGTCATCCACCCCAGACCTGCCCAGCCTTAACCTAAGCACACAGGCCTTCGAGTGTCAATGAGCTGCTCTCCTGGCCGCAGTTCGACACCCACAGATGAGCGTGACTGCCTGGCTCTACCCAGTGGCCTCCCCGTGTGGGGAGCCATCAGGCAGTACAGGCAGAGAGCCGGGGAGGAGGAGGGCAGCCGCGGGCACAGCTCACACAGGGTGTTACTGGACACCGGGGTGGGCCAGGTGAGAGACCGCAGTCAGAGCGCTGAGGCCAGGTTCTGAAGGGCAGGGCTGCAAGGTGGAGAAGGCCCAGCTCTAGCCCAAAGTCTGGGGCCTGGATCCTGGCTGCCTCCCTCCTGCACTCTGAGACCTTGGGAAGGCCCTCCCGGGGAAGCACCTCGAGCTCCCCACCAGAGCCGTGGGGTCTCACGGTGTAGTTAAAAGCAGGGGCTCTGGAGCCAGAGTGCCTGGGGTTGAATCCTGGCTCCCAACGTAAACTCCAGGACCTCTATGCCTCAATCATCTGATTCTGAAATTGTGCATGAGTGAAACTACCCCCAGGGTAACTGGTGACTGAGGTAGCAGGAGTCCAGCCCTCAGGCCAGGCTTAGCACACATTGGTCGGTGCTCACAAAACACCAGCTACCACTGCCGTGTGTTCTCCCCCACGGGGAGGCAGGGACCCAGAAGAAGTTGCCAAAGCACCTGTCCAGTGACGTAACGGCCAGTGAGGCCAGGTGGACACATGGGTGTGCGGAGGCACATGCATGTGAGAGTGTGTCTCAGGTCAGGGCTCCAGTGCATTCGCTCCCAAGCCCAACGCCCTGAAGATCCGACTCAGGCAGGGATTGGCTTAAGTGGTGGTCAGAGAGGAGGGGGCGGGGTGCATGAGGGAGAGAGACCACGCATGCTGGGGGTGGGATGTGCAGAGGTCATGGTTTCCAGCAAGAGGGCCTGGGTTCCAATCCTTGTCCTGGGGAGGCTGGGATAAACATTTGCAACGACCTCTTTCCCTCTCTGAAAGGACACCTGCAGGATCTCAGCAGATAAGGGACATGAGGGCACCTGCTAAGCAGCTGCCCAGTGCTGGATCTGACTCAGCAGGAGACAAAGCTGCAGAAAAGATGACGATGACAGTGGCGGTCACCATGTCCAGGTATGGGGCCCTCGCTCTGTGTAAGACACCATGCTGAGCACTTTCTACGCAGTTTCTTTCAGACAGCTCCATAATCCTATGGGATTGGCAGTTATAGCTCCATTTTTAATAAGCAGAAGCAAGCTCAGAGAGGGCAAGCCACCTGTCCAAGGTCACAGAGTCAGAAGTGGCAGCCCTGGAACGCACACCCAGACCTGTCTTGCTCTGAAACTGGAACACAGCTTAATTCTCACACTTCCTAGACAGGCCTAAGGGGGAAGAAGGGGCCAGGGACAGAAGCAGGCTGTGGGGTCCCCTGAACTCTGGCTGGGGCCAAGGGGAAGGGGTGAGTTCTGGGGAGGCGCCAGTTTTCCACGAAGAGGTGGTGAGGAAACGAGCCTGCCTCCCACTCCCACCTGCCACGGGCCCTCACAAAGGGACAGAGAGAAACCCGACGCCAGGCATCAGGTGACAGGCAGAGAGGGCTGGCTCTCCTCTGCACACAGGTGCAAAAGCACCCACGAAAGGCAAGGACAGGATGGGCACCAGGGGGCAGCGATGACTCAGGCCATCCCTGCCAGCCCAGAGCTGGTGGGAAAGACAGTCATCATCTAAGTGGGAGCCAAAACCCGGGAAACACCGATGAAACCACTACCACAATCAAGGTAGCTAGCATTTCCATCACTCC